GATGCCCGAGCCACCTCAACTGGCTCCTCTCGACATGGAGAAACAGCGGCTCTACTATGAGTCCCTTCCAGATGAGCAAGCTTCTCACCCTATCTCTAAGGGAGAGCCCAGCCACCCTGTTGAGAAAACTCATTTTGGCCGCTTGTATCCAAGATCTCGTTCTTTCGGTCACAACCCAAAGCTCATGACCATAGATGAGGGTAAGAACGTAGATTGATCGGAAAATTGAGAGCTTCGCCTTTTGACTCAGCTCTCTCTTTACCACGACAGACCTGTACAGCACCCACTTCACTGCAGACGCTGCACCTATCCACCTATCGATCTCACGTTCCATTTTCCCCTCTTTCGTGAACAAGACCCCAAGATACTTGAACTCTTCCACTTGGGGCAGGACCTACTCCCTGACCCGGAGAGGGCACTCTACCCTTTTCCGGCTCAAGACCATGGCCTCAGATTTGGAGGAACTGATCTTCATCCCGGCCATGTCGCACTCGGCTGTGAAACGCTCTAGCGAAAGCTGTATATCACGATCTGATGAAGCCAATAGGACCACATCATCTGCAAAAAGCAGAGACGCAATCCTAAGGCCACTAAAACGGATCCCCTCAACACCTTGGCTGCGCCTATAAATTCTGTCCATAAAAGTTATGAACAGAATCGGTGACAAAGGGCAACCTTGGTGGAGTCCAACTCTCATTGGGAACAAGCCTGACTTACTGCTGGCAATGCGGACCAGGCTCTGACACTGGTCATACAAAGACCTAACAGCCCATATCAAAGGGCCCGGTGCCCCATACTCCCAGAGTACCCCCCACAGGGTTCCCTGAGGGACACGGTCGAACGCCTTCTCCAAGTCCACAAAGCACATGTAGACCGGTTGGGCAAACTCCCACGCACCCTCCAGGACCCTGCTGAGACTGTAGAACTGGTCCAGTAATCTACGACCAGGACAAAAACCGCACCGCTCCTCCTGAATCCGAGGTTCGACTATCTGACGGACCCTCCTCTCTAGAACCCCTGAATAGACCTTACCAGGGAGGCTTAAGAGTGTGATCCCCCTGTAGTTGGAACACACTCTATGGTCCCCCTTTTTGAATAGGGGGACCACCACCCCAGTCTGCCAATTCAGGGGAACTTCCCCCGATGTCCATGCAATATTGCAGAGTTGTGTGAGCCAACACAACTCTACAACATCCAGAGCCTTAAGGAACTCCCAGCGAATCTCATCCACCCCTGGGGCCCTGCCACCGAGAAGCTTTTTAACCACCTCGGTGACCTCAGCACCAGAGATTGGAGGGCCCAATCCAGAGTCCCCAGGCTCCGCTTCCTTAGTGGAAGACATGCCAGTGGGACTGAGGAGGTTTTCAAAGTATTCTGCCCACTGACCCACGACATCCTGAGTTGAGGTCAGCAGCACACCACCCCCACTATAATCAGTGTTGGTGGCATACCGCTTTCCCCCCTGAGACGCCGGATGGTGGACCAGAATCGCCTTGAAGCCATGCGGAAGTCATTCTCCATGGCCTCTCCGAACTCCTCCTATGCCTGAGTTTTTGCCTCAGCGACCACCCAAGTATGTTGCTTGGACTGCCAGTACCCATCAGCTGCTTCCGGGGTCCCACAGACCAAAAAGACCCGATAGGACTCCTTCTTCAGCCTGACAGCATCCCTCACCAATGATGTCCACCACCGGGTTCGAGGGTTGCTGCTGCAACTGGCACCGACAACCTTGCGGCTGCAGCTCTGGTAAGCCACCTCGTCAATAGAGGCACGGAACATGGCCCACTCAGACTCAATGTCCCCCACCTCCCCCGGAACATGTTCGAAGTTCTCCCGGAGGTGGGAGTTAAATTTCTGCCTCACAAGAGACTCTGCCAGACGTTCCCAGCAAACCCTCACAATACGTTTGGGTCTGCCAGGTCTGACCGGCATTCTCCCCCACAAATCGGAGCCAACCCACCACCAGGTAGTTATCAGTGGAAAGCGCCGCCCCTCTCTTCACCCGAGTGTCCAAGACATGTGGCCACAGATCAGATGAGACGACGATAAAGTCGATCATCGAACTGTGGTCTAGGGTGTCCTGGTGCCAAGAGCACATATACCACTTTATTTATTTTACCATACCACTTTATTTCTAAAGCACTTAAAACAGCTACAAAGCCAACCAAAGTGCTGATATGGACACCCTTATGCTTGAACATGGTGTTAGTTATGGACAATCCATGATGAGCACAGAAGTCTAACAACAGAACACCACTCGGGTTCAGATCAGGGGGGGCTGTTCCTCCCAACCATACCCCTCCAGGTCTCACTGTCATTGCCCACGTGAACATTGAAGTCCCCCAGCAGAACAAGGGAGTTCCCAGGAGGTGCACTTTCCAGTACCCCCTCCAAGGACTCCAAAAAGGATGGATAATCTGAACTGCCGTTTGGTGCATAAGCACAAACCACAGTCAGAACCTGTCCTCCCACATGTAGGCTGAGGGAGGCCACCCTCTCATTCACTGGGATAAACCCCAACACACAGGCACCAAGATGGGGGGCAATAAGTATGCCCACTCCTGCTCGGCGCCTCTCACCAGGGGCAACTCCAGAGTGGAAGAATGTCCAACCCCTCTCAAGGAAACTGGTTCCAGAGCCAGAGCCATGCGTAGAGGTGAGTCAGACTATTTCTAGCCGGAACCTCTCAGCCTCACACACCAGCTCAGGCTCCTTCCCCACCAGTGAGGTGACATTCCACGTCCCAATAGCCAGCTTCTGTAGCCGAGGATCAGACCACCAGGGTCCCCGCCATCGGCCACCACCCATCCCACATTGCACCCGACCCCTTTGGCCCATCCCACAGGTGGTGAGCCCATGGGAAGGGGGGACCCACGTCTCCTCTTCGGGCTGTGCCCGGCCGAGCTCCATGGGTAAAAGTCCGGCCACCAGGCGCTCACCCGCGTGCCCCACCTCCAGGCCTGGCTCCAGAGTGGGGCCCCGGTGACCCACGTCCGGGCGAGGGAACATCAAGTCCATTTCTTTTTCTCATCATAGGGGTGTTTGGGCTGCACTTTGTCTGGTCCCTCACCTAGGACCTGTCTGCCTTGGGTGACCTTATTAGGGGCGTAAAGCCCCTGACAACATACAGTAGCGCCTAGGATCATTGGGATACTCAAACCCCTCCACCACGGTAAGGTGGCAGCCCAGGGAGGGGTAAAGTAGTTGTTTATTTTAATAAGATTTTTATGGTTAATATTTTTAAAACTTATTTTTGTTTTATTTGATTTGAACTGTGGGCGAGTTGGCACTGTTTCAATGGGGTTTTGGAACTTTTTTGGAAACTTTTTTTGAGGTTAACATTGATTCTATTTTTTAAAGATCGTTACAACACCTGTGTTTGCAAATCAGTTGTTTTGGTTCTGAAATGTGTCTTGTTTTATTTAATATGCTTGATTTTGTGTCATTTTCTATCAGACATTTATTTAATTACTTTTAATTTATTGGCACTAATCATGTTCCATACAGGGCTAATGTAAACTATTCTAAACATTTAAGCAAAATGTCGCCCATTCTATCTGAATCCACCTTTTAATGTTGTAGACTATAAAACATCCCATGAGCTGGAGTGCTTTAAACGTTGTGTGTTGCTATGTTGAAGTGAGTAGCTGGTCAGGAAGCCCGTGGGTGTGTGAGGGTTGGACTTGGACTCTGTGCCTGCGGAGACACAGAGGCTCAGGCTCAGGTGTCACATTTCATGTAAGGCAATCAAGTTTATGATAGCTCACAAGGAACAAAGTTGATATTGTGGTGTTAGAAAGGCAACGTTTTGACACCCAAGTAAAAGTCTGAAAGGTCTATCTTCAGCTAGGTAAGTGATTTTTGTTATGGAGCAACATTTAAAGAATGTTTTAGTCAAAAGCTGTTAAATTAGCCTATCTGTGGGATAAAATGTACTCAAAGTATGAAATCAGGATGTTTACTGTCTGTTTGTTCACCATCTTCACTGAATACTATTACCATAGTTAGTATGTTGGCAATGTGAAAAAGCTGCATTTCAAAATATACTGGTTGATTTAAGTCATTCCCTAAAGGAATGCATGTCACCCACTGCCCTTCATGTCAGAGTTTTGGACTAAAATCATCTTGTGTTGAGAAATAAGAGTTAGCTGGTTTGAAAAAAAAAATAATGCAGTATCACCAGACATCATGCTCAGAGTAGTCTATGTGTTGTAAATGACTATTGGCTATTACCTTTGTTTAATATCAGAAAAAATGACTGAGTTAAATAAATTTGTCTGCTGGACTTTTTGTGTTTTCCAAGGTAGCATCTTGATTTAAGTTGGCTCCAAAACTTAACTGGTAATTGTAAATGTTTATCTATTGGATGTGTGCTGGTTTCAATAAAGTCTGCCCACTGATTCATGTATGGTTTTGTTTAGTAATAGGCATCCACATGAACACAATCAGACAAAGGGAAAATTTACATTTCAGTGATTGGGTAAAAGCTAAAACTCCTGAACTGCTGTCCTAATGCATGCTCAATAATGCTGAAATTCTGCTCATTCCTGCTCTTTTGTTCCCCGATAACAGTTTGCAAAAGTGAAATACTGATCAAATGTGTCAGATAATTCAGGTGCAACTGGTTTGACTTTGTAGTTTCCCCTTTCTCTCAGCTGGATTACTCCCAGCAGGGGGGCACACAGGTACAGTTTACAGTACAGCGCAGTAGTGTGTGTGTGTGGGTGTGTGGGCGGGGAGTGTAACAGGTGCATAAACAGTACACATGGCTGCCCCAGCTCACCTCCTTTCTGCCGTCTGAATAATTGAAGCCTGCTGGGTTAGGTTCTTCTTGAATGATGAGGTGCAGGTTACTGGTAAAGGAAAGATGGTTGAAGTAAAAAGGGGCTTTAACGGGAAAAATAGGAGCATTCTGTGCTTTATTTTATATTTTATTGAAGCATGCATATTTGTACATAATTATTTTTCTCCAATTTTCATCCTTACTCCAGGTGAAGAGCATGTATGAACCACGGTACTATGATAGCCCCCCTGTATACAGCCCACCATATAGCACCACCTCCCTCAGCTTCTACCCTTCAAGGAGTGTTCAGTCTCCCCAGATCCAGCATGTTCCTTACACTCACAAGCTGTCTCCTGACTCCTACTACCTGGAAGGACAGCCTCAGCACTTCTACCGGTGGTTCTCAGCTCCGGGTTTCGTCAAGACTTTCCAAGGGGCCACAGTGCTCATGTGTTTCATCATCTTTGCCTGCATAGCTTCAACCTTGGTGTGGGACATGAATGGATTTGGGTATGGGGGTTACGGTGTGGGTGACCCAGTTTCTGTTGGTGGAGTAGGTTCTGGATATTATGGAGGCAGCTATGGCTATGGCAGCTCTTACATGACGCCGCAGTCGGCTAAGGCAGCAATGATTTCTATGGCTGCCATCATCTTCTTGGTTTCACTTGGGTTTCTGGTGGGAAGTTTCTCTCGGTCCAGAATGATGCGGGGGTGCAGGTTTTACCTCACTGTTTTCATCTGTGACATCATTCAGGCAGTGCTCCAGGTGGGTCTTCCTCATTAATACATCATACAAAATAACTGGATGTTTCTCAAGAACAACACACTATTGTATGTGACTATTGTATTTAGACCTGCTGAGTCTAAACTACACCCTTATGAACACTGCCTTTATGTCATCTATTTAGTCTATTTGGTTTGTCTTGATCTGGTTAACACCTTGCCTCGACTTCTGAAAGGCATTTTAGGGTTTTATTTTGTTGTGCCTTTTTATTTATTTATTTTTGATAAAAAACAAATTGATGTCTGCAGTTTAGTTTGAAGACACAGATGTTTTTCTTGTATTAAATGGAACTGAGAAGATGATTTGCTGCGACTTCATCAGTCATAAAAACAAATTTAAACTAGAATGCCTGAACTATTGTTTTTTTTTTTCAATCTTAGCTAAGGTGGCCATCTTGGATTTTGATTTGGATGCAGCATGTGATAGGGAACGTTCTCAGCTATAACTTCACCAAATTTTAGCTCTGTATGTGTAAAAATGGCTGATTTAAATCCATACAAAAGTAGTCATGGTGGGCAACTTGGATTTTTGATTTTCATGCACATTTGACATAAATTATTGTCAGTTATCATCACACCAAGTTTAAGCTCAATATGACTAAAACTGGCTGATTTAGAGTATTTTTCCTTTTTTGCTAAGGCAGCCATCTTGGATTTTTGATTTTCACTTAGAGTCTATTAGGGATAGTTGTCAGCCAACAATGTGCCAAATTGCAGCTGAATAGCTGTAAAAAAAATGGCAGAGTTATTCTAGTTTTTCTCTAAATCAGCTGAATAAGTAGCTAAAGAAATGTAGAAAGAAGCTTAAATTTCCAAAAGGAATTGGGGGAGATTTATTGTGTTCACTGTGGCTGAAAAAGGCAGAAATTAGCACAATAAAGTTGAAATTATCTGAAAACAGCGGAAATTGGCCAAAAACAGCTGAATAGTAGCTAAAACAAGCCAAAAGAAGCTTAAATTACTAGAAGGAACTCGGGAGAGCATGTTTTTGCTGAATTAGGCTGAAAAACATTTAAATTATTTCAAGAAATGTGGAATAAGCTGGTAAAGATGAAATTAGCATAAAAACAGCCAAATGCTTGCTGAAATAGCAGAAATAGCTGAAATCTACAGAAATAAGCTGAAAGGAGCACAACAAGCTGAAATTAGTCGAAACAAGTTTGAAGAAGCATAAAAATCTTGAACTTAGCTGAATGAAGCTGAAAGGAGCACACAACAACTGAATAAACAGCTGAATAAACAGCTGAAATTCACTGAACTAGCTGAAATTTTCCAAAAATTTGCACAAGGAAGCTAAAAGATGCTGAACCAGAACAAAATGTGAAAGGGGCTGTAAAAGGTTGTAAACAGATCTAAAAATTTGAAGGATGTAAAATGAGCTCAAATCATTTTCTATGAAAAAAGTGGCAGAAAAGTTTAAATATTTCAAAAAGCTAAAGTTGCACCAATACCAACAGTCATAGCAGTCATGTCCTGAAACAGCTGAACATTTTGATATATGAATTGTTGAAATTGCACAAAAATTGTGGGAGTAGTTAGATGCTGAAAAACGTACAGAAGAGAAAGTGGATCTCAGTATCGGCCGTCTTGGATTTTTAATTTTTACTTAGTTTATTAGGGATCAATGTCAGCTAACAATGCGTCAAATTTCAGCTGAATAGCTCTAAAAATGGCAGAGTTATCCTAGTTTTTCTATAAAACAGCTGAATAGGAGCTAAAGAAATGTAGAAAGAAGCTTAAATTTCCAAAAAGAAGTGGAGGGAACTTAATTGTGCCCACTAAGGCTGAAACAGGAAGAAAATAGCACAATAAACTTGAAATTATCTGAGAGAAGCTGTAATTTGCTAAAAAAAAACCCAAAAAAAACCCGGCTGAATAGTAGCTAAAATGAGCAGAAATAAGGTTAAATTACTAGAAGGAAGTCGGAAGAGCATGTTTAGGAATTAGGCTGAAAAAAGTTTAAATTTCCAAAAATGTGGAATTAGCTGAAAAAGATTAAATTAGCATCAAAACAGCTAAATGTCTAGGTGAAATAGCATAAATAGCTGAAACCTACAGAAATATGCTGAAAGAAGCACAACAAGATGAAATTAATATACATAAGTTTGAAGAAGCATAAAAATCTTGAAATTAGATGAATGAAAACACAAAAACTGCTGAAAAAAACTGCTGAAATTAAATGAACTAGCTGATTTTTTTTAATTTTCATTCAATCTATTAGGGATTGTTGTCAGCTACCAGCATGCCAAGTTTCAGCTGAACAGCTCTAAAAATGACAGAGTTATCCTAGTTTTTTTTTTTATAAAACAGCTGAATAGTAGCAAAAGACATTTAGAAAGAAGCTTAAATTTCCAAAAGGAAGTTGAGGGAGCCTACTTGTGCCCACTAAGGCTGAAAAAGTCAGAAATTAGCACAATAAAGTTGAAATTATCTGAAAAAATATGTAATTTGCCTAAAACAGCGGAATAGTTGATAAAACAAGCAGAAATAAGCTTAAATTACAAGAAGGAAGTTGGGGGAGCATGTTTTTGCTGAATTAGGTTGAAAAAAGTTTAAATGGTTGCAAAAAATATGGAATAAGCTGATAAAGATGAAATTGGCATCAAAACAGCTAAATGCTAGACGAAATAACATAAATAGCTGAATCCTACAGAAATAAGCTGAAAGGAGTACAGCAAGCTGAAATTAGTTGAAATAAGTTTGATGAAGCATAAAAATCTTGAACTTAGCTGAATGAAGCTGAAAGGAGCACAAAATAGCTGTGAAAATAGCTGAAATTAGCTGAATTTTTCTAGAAATTTGCACAAGGAAGCTGAAAGAAGTTTAAATCAGATCTGTGTGAAAGTAGCATTAAAAGGTTGTAAACAGATCAAAAGTTATGAAAGATGTAAACAGAGCTCAATTCATTTCCAATGGACAAGAAAATGGCAGAAAAGGCTAAATATCTCAAAAGGCTAAAGTTGCACCAATACCAAAAGTCGTAGCAGTCATGTCCTGAAAGAACTGAAATAGCACAAAAATTGTGGGAGTAGTTAGATGCCAAAAAACGTACGGAAGAAAAAGTGAGTGGATCTCAATAGGCATTCACACAATTAGTCAGCTCACGGGTGGCACGGTGGCTCAGTTGGTAGAGCTTTCCCTCTCAGTGAGAAGGTCACCAGTTTAAATCCCAGCCCGGGAACTGTCTGGGTATTTGTATGTTCTTTCCATGCATGCATGGGTTTTCTCCGGTGTTTCCTCCCACAGACCAAAAACATGCATGTTAGACTGACTGGTAACTCTAAATTGTCCCTAGGTGTGAGCGAGAGAGTGAATGGTTTTTTGTCTCTATGTGTCCCTGTGATGGACTGGAGACCTGTCCAGTGTGTCCCTTGCCTCTCGCATAATGACTGCTGGATATGGGCACCACTGACCCCTGCGACCCGAAAAAGGAAGAAGCGGGTAAAGATAATGGATGGATGGGGTGGCTGTGGCTGAGTGGTTAGAGCAGTCGTCCTCCAATGCATGAGTTGGGGGTTCGAATCCACCAGCAGTCACATGCTGAAGTGTCCCTGGGCAAGACACTGAACCTCTCATAGCCTCTGATGGTTGTCCATCAGTGTTTGAATGTGATAAAACTCTGATTAGTCTCTTTAGAAAGATTTGTTCAATTAGCTTTGTAGGGATCTAGTAGAGTTTTGTATGAATGGGTAAATGAGGCACAGATCGTAGTGTAAAGCACTTTGAGTGTCTCCATAAGATAGAAAGGTGCTAGTAAGTACAGTCCATTTACCATGGATGGATGGTCAGCTCACTAATGAGGTAACCATTGATTAGTGCAGCCTTAAACTTGATCTGTCACTGTCCAAACCTATCACTGTTTAAGGAGGCAATTAATGCTTGTTGTCAGGATTTTGTGGACAGGAACGAACCCAGTAGTGCAGACAGGACTCAACTCGGCAGATTATAAAAATAAATATTTTAATAACAAAATAAATAGCTGACGTGGCAGCAAAACTTACGTGATACAGAAGATTCAGAGGTAAACTCAGGGAGGACTCAGGAGAGCTCAGGGGAGACGCAGGAGAACACAGAGACCCAACGAATACGACCCAACAAAGGAACAACACAGAACAGGAGGCTTATATACAAGGACAAGACAAGACGTGATTACAACAGGTGTGACGAGACAAAGGTGGCAACAATTAAACTGACGAGGAAACACTAGGGAAACACAGACACAGCAAATGGTACCATCCTTACACTTGTGACCAGCTAGTGTTCAAATACCTATTGATCCAAGTATGGGGACAAAAGTAAAAGATGGAGGAGTATGAACAAATTTAGGAAATCTCTGGGTTTGCAATTTCTGACACAAGCAGTGTGTTGGCTAAATTAATTGTCTTTTCATCATCTCTTTTTTCAAATAAGCCTCTCTGAGGACACAAGAAGATTCTTCAACCTAGTTTACTATCAAATCAGGCTTACACAGATGTTACATTGAAGCTCCGGCTGTGAGGTCTGTCCATGGACAAAGAGTTAGAGAAAGCTTTAATACCCATTATCAGACAGAGGCAAGGTCAAGACAAGTTCACAGCTCATAGATTTGAAGGTGTCAGTTATGTTATCTGCAGGCTCAGTTCATCAGGCGCCTACAGGCTCCTCTCTGAGTAGACAAAAATACTCTCTTGACCTCACACACATGGTTTTACATTAATTTAAAATTAGTAAGTGAAAACATCCATGACCTTTACATAAATTCCCTTGACACAGTGTCATTAAAAATTAAATGTTGTGAATAAATATCATCTGTATTTTGCCTTCTAGGGCATCATTAATATCATCTTTGTGATTGGCGTGAACCCGATGTCTCAGAGCTCACAGAGCATGCTGTATAACCCCATGCTGAGGATGTGTCAGAGCATCCAGGGTAGCCCCAGCCTCAGCAGCAGTGTGGGGGCCGGTTTTCCTGGAAGGTTTCCTATGTATAATCAATACCTGCACCACTACTGCTACATGGACCCTGAGGAGGCAAGAGAAGTTATTTCATTCTGTTGACCTGTATCTGATTGTGATTGCTTAGTCAGCACACTCTTGTTCTATTTCGTATAAGCTTTGCCCTTTAAGGCTGTCGCTGATGGGTTATCCCGTTATGTGAAGCATTACACTGAAAAATTTAGTCCACGCCCACCTGCTGTGTGGGCCCCACGCAGTCCGTATAAATTACGTTAAGAGCGGGTAATCGGCTCCCCTTTTTTCTTCAGCGAGCTAATAGCACTGTCAGAAGAACGAAGAAGGAAAGTTGTGTAGATGACCAACCTTTGTTAAGAATGCTTGGCCCGTAACGTCGACCTCCGGTCATCCTGGTGAGCTCTCCTCCCCGAGGAGAAACTGACGAGCAGTCTTGTTTCAAGGTAAGCGTCGAGGAGTATTTCTCAGTGACAGGTCGCTACACGTTGGACAACGCCATCTTGTAATTTTCCTCTTATCGCCGACCCCCGGAGTGAATCGGATGGTTCCTCCGGGACAGGCAGCGTCAGCAGCGGCCCCCCAGGGCTCATTCCCTCCTGGAGAGCGTAGTGTCGGTAGAGGGGGGCTGAGCGAATGCTCACCTCATCCCACCTCGTTTCGCATCGGCGATCACACCGCTCCCAGCCGACTGCACCCTCTGGGGTTGCCCGCGTAACCCAGGAGTGGCTGACATTAAGGGACCTTTTTTACGTCCCGCGCCTTTTTCCCGCCAGTTCGGATGATCCAGCGGGAGGGTTCTTTTTCTAGGCTCCTTTTCCGGCTCACCGTCCTGACCCCATCTGGCCTCGTTTTTCCCAACAGGGCGTCTTACGGGACGAGGCCACAGCTGGCTTTCCTGGTAGATTGGGGGCCCGGTCCCCACAGCCCGCGCCCATCACCAGAGCAGAGGGGTTTTCACCGAGCGGTTTTTCCCTCAGTGCCCTTGGAGCCGAGCCTGACGGAGGCTTCATCGGAGCAAGATGTCCTGGTGGACCAGCGTCCCGCGCCTCCGGTTAGCGTAACCCAGACGGTGACACCGATCTTCGACTGAGCTCACCAGCATGCGTTCCAGACGGCCGCAGCGAACAACACGTTACGCTGTTGGCATACATGTTCAGAGGCGGGAGGAGACAACGCTCCGTCTGCAGAGCAGCTGACGTCATCCCCAACTGGTGCGCCTCTTTGCTGTCTGCCGGCCCGCATCGCAGCCGGAGGAAGGAGTTTTTCAGCATTTCCCTGAGACCGCCAACAGATGGCACTCTAGGACAACAAATGGCAGAGCAAATGACGGTTGTGGCAGAGGATGTGTGTAGGTGACACGAGTTTGGAGTAAAACATCATTTAATGATGAAAGTGTCCATTTTTAGCCAGTCTGTCAGCTCAGATGATCTGACAGTGACTCTCTCTCACACCCTCCACACGAAATGAGCTGGTGGCAAGACGGTCCCACGGCCGTCTCGCTGAGCTTCAGCCTGTCCAGCCCTCTTCATCCCGGCAACAGAGTGTCCAAAGTTTTTCCCAGAGACCCCCAGCAGATGGCGCCCTGGGCCAACGAATCCCAGAGCTCATGGGGGAAAAGATTCAGAATGATGGTCTGCGGAGGGTGTGTGTAAATATGACACAAATGTTGAATAAAACATCATTCAATGATCAAGTGTCTGTTTCTAGCCAGTCTGTAAGCTCGGATGGACTCACAGCGGCTGCGCACACACCCTCCACACATAACTAGACGGTGTCTTTAATAAGGGCTTTTTAAACTCACCGTTGTTCCAAGACATGACGAGACGCTCACACGTCACAATGGTAAGAGAAATAACTCGTTGTCAACCCGAGCTGCACGATCCTCACCCAAGCGGTGTCAAACACGCACTCACGCAACACAAACAGCCTTTACCCAAACGGGATTGCATTGATGATGGTGCACACACAGCTCCCCGGCGTTCACCGGCCCACATCGGCATAAATGTGGGACCGCAGGTCGGGTCTGTGGAGGACCTTCGCTCTCAGTGAGAGCGACACACGCCGCATCGAAGCAAACGCGTGCCACCGCCACACAGGCAGCCTTCATCCACCGCGTCTCAGCGCTCGGCCGCTCACGGCAGCATAAGCGTGAGACAGCTGAGCGAACCCAGTGACGAGTCTCGCTTCCAGCGAGAGCGGCGCGCGTCCCACCAGAGAAAACGTGTGCTCCCGCGGGGCTCGCAGTCTTCACTCAAACGGCATGGCGTAGATGAAGTCGCACTCACAGCTTCGCAGTGCTCGCCCGCTCATGGCGGCATAGATGCGAGATCTCAAAGCGAACCCAGCGCAGGACACCACACGCGGCAGGAGCGACACGCGTTTTCACCGCAGTGGCGTCAAACGCGCAGCCCCACGGCATCATCAGCTGTCACGCTTCACCTCAGCACACACCGGCCCACCTAGACATGAAGGTTGGTCTGCGGTCCGAACGCAGCACATGGGCACGTTCAGAGCCCTTTTGAGGAAGCCTCGCCTTGGGCCACGCGGAAAACATTCCTGCGACACATGACGGTGGTTGAGGCGGTGGACTGGATGGCATCCGTACAAAACATGACGCATCACTTAAACGCATGTCTACTCCACGAACGTTACACAGAGTGGCTAAAAACATGCTCGCCAGACAGATGGATGGCCAGGGTGTTATGCAAAGGTTACACGTTACAATTTGCAACCCGACCCCCTCCGTTCGGAGGAATTTTAGAGACAGTCCTGTCATCACCAGACCAAATCTCATCCCTAAATGCAGAAGTCCAAGAGCTTCTGATAAAAGAAGTAATCTCCAGAGTTCCCAATGGAGAGAAAAACACAGGGTTTTACTCACGTTACTTCCTGGTTCCCAAATGGACCGGAGGGATGAGACCGATTTTGGATCTGTCAGCTTTCAACAAGGTGATCATGGACAGACCGTTTCACATGTTGACAACCAGACAGCTGTTGGACAACATCCAGAGAAATGACTGGTTTGTTTTCCGTCGACCTGAAAGATGCTTATTTTCACACACCGATCATCCCAAAACACAGAAAATTCCTGTGTTTCTCCTTTCAAGGGATGATGTATCAGAACAACAGGCTGCTGGTCGGTTATTCCCTCGTGCCTCGTATGTTCTCAAAGTGTGTGGAGACAGCCCTGCATCCGTTACACGTAGCAGGGATGAGAGTTTTTTTTTTACCTGGATGACCTGCTGCTGCTGTCATGCTCCAGACAGGAAGCAGTGATGCAGGCTCAGGTGTTGACATCACACCTGTTAAATCTGGGCTTCACCATAAATTGGAAGAAAAGCTCAATTTTCCCGGCCCAGGCAATTGTTTATCTGGGAGTGGAGCTAAACTCAACCACCATGAGGGCTCGTTTATCACAAACGAGAATCAACACTTTAAAAGACCAGCTCCATCATGTAAGACCTGGCAGAGTGGTAACAGCTGTTTTCCATCATGAAGCTGTTAGGAATGATGTCATCAGCTCACACAGTTGTCCCGCTGGGTTTATTACACATGAGACGCCTCCAGAGGTGGTTTGCGCGTCTGGATCCAGTAAAACAAAAGAGACGGATGATCACTGTTCCTCCCTCCATGAGGGCAGACCTCCGACACGGGGGAAACACCCTGGTTCTGTCGGAGGGAGCCCCCGTCAGCAGACCAACGTCACACGTGCTAGTCTTCACGGACGCGTCGCTGTCAGGCTGGGGGGGGATATGCCTATCTCAAGCAATAGGGGCACTGTGGCCCCATCACACATCTGCCCACATAAATGTTTTGGAGTGTCACACGGTGCTGAACGTGATTCAACACTTTGCTCATGTGCTGCAGAATCAACACGTTTTGATTCACACAGACAACAAGATGACTGCTGCTTACATAAACCGTCAGGGGGGTGTGCACTCAGCCCAGATGTTACACATTGCGCGAAAGCTACTGTGTTGGGCTCACCAAAAGCTGCCCTCCATCAGAGCAGTTTACATACCCGGTGTTCTGAACAAAGGGGCAGATGTGATGTCCAGGGACAGTCTACGTCACGGGGACTGGACTCTCTATCCAGACCTGATGACTCAGACATGGCAGAAATTTGGCAAAGCAGCTGTGGACCTGTTTGCGACACGAGAAAATACTCAGTGTCAACTATGGTTTTCTCTGAGCCCATGAAACGAACCACCACTGGGGGTGGATGCGTTTGCCCACAGCCCATGGCCCAAAACGCTTCTGTACGCGTTTCCTCCACCTCCTCTGATTTTACAGTTCCTGAACTGAGTTCAGGAGGAGGGATTGACAGCTCTCCTGGTGGCCCCCGAGCACATGAACGCACCATGGTTCCCAGTCCTGCAACGCCTGCTGTCAGGGCACCCGTGGAAACTGCCATGGAGGGAGCATGCTCTCCTCCAGGCAGGAGGAGCGATGAGGAGTTACCCAGAAATAGGCCAGCATCTGTGGGTCTGGCTGCTGAGCGGATCCGCTTTGAGAGGATGGGTCTCCCACAGGATGTAGTGCGCACAATCCAGGATTCACGTGCTGCATCTACCACAGCGCTGTACACATCAAAGTGGACAGTTTTTCAGCGCTGGTGTACAGAGAAATGTGTAGAGGCCATCTCATGTCTACTAGGTGGCATGCTGTCCTTTCTACAACAGCTGATGGACAGAAATTTGACGTCCAGCACGATTAAAACGTACGCTGCAGTCATCTCTTCCTGCCACGAAGGTTTCGGAGACAGAACAGCCTTTAATCATCCACTGATGAAGCGTTTTCTAAAAGGTGTACAGAGACGCAGGTCTGTTTCACCCACTTGCTCCACAGTGGGTTGTGGAGCAAGTGGGTCCACGCTGGTCCTGCGAGCCCTGATCAAATCTCCATTTGAGCCTATGGATCAGGTCCCAATTAAATTCTTGTCTCTTAAAACAGCCCTGCTGCTGGTTTTAACATCCGCTAAGAGGGTGAGTGATTATCTGTCTTCTCTGTTGCTCCATCATGTCTTAGAATTCAGGCTGATGGCAGCTCAGCTGATTTAAGACCAAACCCAGCTTTTATGCCTAAAA